TAACAACTTCTGTAAAACATGAAAATCAAATATCCATTGGCGCGCCGTACTGAATGTACTACATGTTTACAAAATATGTGGAAATAATTTCCCTACGTAATAAGTATACTGAAATATAGGTAAATATTGGTAAAATATTGCTCAATTTAACAATCAATTACTACCAGTAAAACAGTAATTTCTATGACTCTATGACTTATTCAAATAACGTTTATAATATATATATATATATTATTATAATAATATATTTTGTATATTCAAATGTTAACAACTTACTCAATAACCAGTAATTTGCAATACAATAATGATGTTTGGACACCAAACATTTAATTTATAAACAGGAAAATTAATTTGAGTTGTACAGCTAGTTTGGAATCTTTCAAATTGTTGCTGTACATTTTTCAGGAAATTGGTAGTTTTATATGGCATTACCTGTTAACGTAGCCTCTTCTAATAATGCAGTCGTTGGCACAGCGGATGTTCTGACAGTGCTGGAATGTGTTGCTTCAGTTGTGAAATCTTATAATGGTAAAAAATTGATGACTTTTTTAACTCATGTTATTAAATTCACTATTTCTTCTAACTTATCTTATCAATTGTTGCATCTTCTAGTTTGTGAGAGAGCTATATAAGAAAGTAATTGCATCCTTCCTCGAAACAACCCCTAAAGCTCGGCGAAGTATATCGCCGTTGAAGGCATAGCGTTATACACTAAATCATACCAACTGATCCTGGCAGTATAGTGCCCCCGCTCTTTTTCTGTTGACACACTTTTTTGCTGAATTATAGCACAAACTATATTGTCAAACTTTAGCAACATCGATTCAACAGGTAGTTTGCCCGTTGAGGCGTCTGCTTTAAAGCGTAAAAGAGGAACATGTATTACTCCAAAAATTAGCTCAACTTGGCACATGCAAGTTAACACCACCAACACTGAATCTACGACATAAGTAACATGGGTTGCAAATGATCAATAACATACTAGATCATCTGCTGAATATTGAAGACAGATCTAGGGTTCCTTCCTTTGATTGTTGGCAAAGTCAAAGACTTTTACACAAAAGAGGTGGTCATTTTGAAAAAAAAAGCATTGCGCAGAACAATAGAAAAGAAAAAGCTAGAACAACACAACAAACTGAACATGGCAACCAAAGTAGATTTAAATAAGTAGAATTCATGACAGAAGAAAAGAATATCCCAGCAACACGACCGGCACAAATCAAGTTTAACAGTGTTCCGCAAAGAGAGATCATATTAATCGACGTCCCATTGGTGTACAATTTAATCATTGCGACACGCGTCAATTTGTGGAGCAATCCGCTAATTGATTTGCTAACAAAATACAGTAATGAGTTTTTTAGGGACAATTAGGGAGACGCACAAAACGTTATGCACAATCGTGAAAACTCCTCCAAAAGATGGACAAATTACATTAATAAAACTGGATTGACTATTGACGGAGTGAAATATATAACTCCACATACGATGCATTGTGATAATGTTTTTATTTAAACTATGATTCCTAACCTCCTTCTCAAAATGTATTAATTTGTGTTTTTATTCAGCAAATAGGAATATATACAATTCAATCTTAGAATCGAATGAGTTGAATTGTATCGGGTGCATTGAAATATGCATCTATGCTCTCTTTCCAATTATGTAAATGGACGTGCTAGTGATTTTAATTTGTTAGCACAATACTTTAAATACAACTAATTCGAAAGGAATTTAAATGATTCCTAACCTCCTTCTCAAAATGTATAAATTTGTGTTTTTATTCAGCAAATGGGAATATATACAATTCAATCTTAGAATCGGATGAGTTGAATTGTATCGGGTGCATTGAAATATGCATCTATGCTCTCTTTCCAATTATGTAAATGGACGTGCTAGTGATTTTAATTTGTTAGCACAATACTTTAAATACAACTAATTCGAAAGGAATTTAAACGACTGAGATCTTCGAATAATGCAGTAGGTAATCCTAATGAAAGAGGTTCACACAAACTGCAAGCATTTTAGTACTGTATATAACCTACCTGGAAGAGTTATTTCCTTAAGTGCAGATTGCAATTCTTCAGTGGTAACACCTATACGTGGAATAATAGACTTCGTGTCAACTATATCTGAAGTCTCTCTGCTTGTGGTAGGACCTAATGACATAATACATATAAATTGTAGATCTGTGATGACAAACTCTTGGAATATGTCTAAGTAAAATAACATTTGACCCCTAATCAGATGTGTAAAATTAAATTAATTTCAATAACTTCGAATATTGCAAACGCGTGAAATATAACTACAATCATGGAAGTAACAATGTTAAATAAATTGTTCTAGAAAATTCTTCTCTATATATTAAATATATATTTATGTTCCTGAAACAATATTTTGGATGCATATTTGGAACATGGAATGTTTAAAAACCTGGGAACAAACCTATTGTATTGTTGGCAAAATGTATGTATGTTAGTTTGAAAAATCAAAAAGATAACAAATATATTTTTAATCACGAAAAGTAATGTAGAATGTAATTAGTTCATACTTATTACTTTGTCCCAATAAAGGAATACAATCACAATACAAGCACGGTGATACCGACCTCATGACATGACAAATCGTAAAGAACAAGATCACTATACACAATTTAATAATTTCACATTCCAGGTTATGTTTTTATAAAATTGTGTTCAATGTCATCTTTGATTTAAAAACATATATTCACAAAGACATATCTCTTTTTTTGCCGTTTTCGACGTTTGGGCAAATTTCATCAAATGCACAATGACCAACATCTTGCAAAATTTGTTACTTTCACGACAAATGGACTATTCCAAAACAATGCGTGTGTCAGTGACCTAGTCAAATATTTTAATATTTTTCCATACAAAAATTTTTGAAAAGTACTCATATTCAATCTAACCTTTATCAATTGTCTCAGTACTTGCATACAAATATGGTGACTTCGACACACTAGTAGCTACTATAGCTTCTTCCACTGTTGTCAAATCATCCATATCTTTAAAAGTCAAAACTTCTGTACAAATTGAAAATAATCTCACCAATAATATTTGATATATAATTAATGTGTAAATGTCAGCAGTTGCTTCATTTTTATAAGTATTTTAACAAATGTATTTTAAACGTAAATTGTTAGATACAAATCATCAAAACGGCAATTACTCAAGGTTAATCACTTTCCAAATATTCGTATCAAGTGAGTGTTACACTGTCATAGGGTAAAAGACTGGTATGCCATCATATAAATCTAGTTCTCAGTGCAAGTAGATATATTACTAAGCTTTATGCTCTGTGTAAGGGCAGATTATAACGTTAATTCGAACAGTTGCGGTTTCGTTTCAAGTTGCGAATTTTCGAGGCAAAGAATTACTCGCCTTACCAGTAAAGGTAGCCTCTTCTATTAATGCAGTTGTTGGTTGGGTAGATGATTTTGCAACGTTTGTATATATAGCTTGTGTTGTGAAA